GTTCGCGTGCGTGCTCTCCCTGTGTCTCGCTGCTCTCTCATCTAATGTAATAGTTTATGTCTATCTCTCTCAAATCCATCTCTGTCTCAACTTTTCGACTCACCGTCGCGTCAAGCTTGCTCGCACGATATGTTCCCACCTACCCCTCCTCCGGCTGCCGGGTTCCTTTCTGACACGCCAGGCACCATGCCCACCCCCGCCAACTTCCGCAACTCCCACCCCATGCTGCCCCTGCGTCATTAGTTCTCCGTCTCGCCACCAGGTGCTCAACATGATAGAGAACATCAACGAGACGCGCAGTGAGCTTCGCGAGAACCGAGCCGTCGCCACGGCGACCGGCGACGCCCACATCCCCTCCACGTCCGGCACGGACACGCAGTCGCAGCCCGGCTCCGCGCGACCACCGGCGACACCTACAGGCAGCCAGAGCAGCGAGCAGCTCGACGCGTTCCACCCAGCAGGGGGCGCCGCCGCGGGGAAGTCGGAGAGCCGCGCGCGTCAGTTCGTGAGGCGTCTGTCGCTCGCACGGCCGCGGTCGCGTCGCCGCGGCAACGTCGCGAGTCCGCCTCGCTCGCTCACCCTTAGCGACACGGGTCCCCTGGAGGATCGCGGGGAGGGGGAGGAGGAGGAGGAGGGGCGAGGGGAGGGAGGAGGCGCCCACTCCCCCGCGGAGGAGGGTGCGGTGGCGGCGGCGGCGGTGAGGGAGGAGGTTCCACGGTGCTGGAGGAACCTCTACTACCTACTGGAGCTGTACTCCATCAAGCCACAGACGAAGATGGTCGTTGAAAAGTGAGTGTGTGTCGATACTTGTAGCATCGTGGGGGGAGGGTGGGGAAGAGGGGGAAGGGTGGGAGAATGGGGGAAGGGTGGGAGAATGGGGGAAGGGTGGGAGAATGGGGGAAGGGTGGGAGAATGGGGGAAGGGTGGGGGAATGGTGGAAGGGTGGGGGACTACTGGAGCTGTACTCCATCAAACCACAGACGAAGATGGACTTGTAGCATTGTGGGGGTGGGGGAGAGGGGAAGACTGCTTGGGTGTGGTCTTGGAACAGAGAAGTGTTTGGAGGAAGAATATTATAATTAATTATTGCAGCGTTACACGTTAACGATGGCGTTCGTCTGTAGTTTGTGGGGTCGTGAGGTTGCTCGTAATTAATATTATAATTAATTATGAGTCGTGAGGTCGCTCGTTATAATCACAGGTCGCCAAAGATTTCGAAGGGCGGCGGTTCGAAGCTCCCGGCCGAGTCTCCGTCTAAGTCCATACTGAGGCACGAGTTTGCCAAGAGAGGGAGCCAACCGGGCAAATACAAGCTTCTCATTGACGACGACACGGAGGGAGAGCAGAACGAAGGTAGCGCCGCGGTCACCGCCAGATATAGAGGGCGCCACATAGCTTGTTCTAGAGGGCGCTGTAGAGCCGGCTATAGAGGGCGTTTTTAACGTTACTGCGATGACTCGCCCCTCGGATGCTATGGCGCTGTTTCTTTATCGGCTCAAAGCAAAGACGATTACACAGATGGCAGCGTGAGATGGTAGCGTGGGAGTAACCTTGATTCTCTTGAGTTTTGATGTCTCTGCGTATCTAACGAACAGTCTCGCATGTGCATGAGCGAGCGTATACACCTCGTGTGGCTGCATGCGTACGTGTCACACCGTGGGTTGTTCCCTCCGTTCTGCACACACCCTGCTCCGATCAGCAGCTCTCAGCGTTGGCTGAACACCCGAGAGCCACGTTAA